CTGGGGTGCAGGGGGCATCTGGAGGGGTTGTGCTGGGGCAGGGTGGGGACATCAGAGTGCGGAGGGCACCAGGAAGGGGTACACTGAAGCAGGGTGGGGGCATTGGGGTGCAGGTGGCACTGGGAGAGGCTGCCCTGGGGCAGGGAGACTCCAGGGGTGGAGGACCCTGGGTGCTGCTGAAAGAGCTGACTCTGTGTCCTGGGCTCCACTGGCAAAACCTGTCACCTTGCTATGACCCCCCACAGAGCTCAGCACCCCCCACGAGCTTGGCACCCTGCCACAGCCCGGGCTGGCTGCCTGGCCATTGCTCCTGGCTGCTGATAAGGTCCCAAAGGAAGGGTCCCCACCCCGATGTGTCCCTGATAACTCCAGGGCTTCCCGCTTCCCGCCTGACGCCCGTGGGAACACACGGCCTGCCTGGGAACAGCAATAAATATTTATTTCCGCAGGGCAGGATAGGCGGAAAGAGGGGTCACGGCCATGTGCCCCTGCCTGGGGGGAGTGAGGCCACAGGGAGAGCCACAGTGCACAGCTGGAAAAGTCCCCCATCCCCAGGGAGGTGGCACAGTGCCATGTCCCCCAGTCCCGGGGAACCCCTTGCCCCAGGTGACATCTGGGAGTGTGTTGTGGGGTGCCAAGGGGTGCCTATGCAGAGTGCTCCTGCTGCAATGATTCTCAGCAGGTTGGGGTGAGTGTCCACCCAGGTCCCTCAGGCCATGGGCCACTGCGTAGGCAGCTCCACATCCCCCATCTCCTCCTGGTAGCGCTGGTTAAAGAGGGCATTTTGCTGGGGAGAGAAGTGGTCGCGCCAGTCCCCGACCACACCTGCGGATGGAAGGCAGAGGGAGTCAGGGATGCTGCCCCCGTACTGCCCGTATCCCTCCAGCCCCTACCCCCTCACCTTTGCGCATGAAGCGGCCCTGGCTGTGGTCCATGATCTCGGGGGGGATGAGGGAGTAGTTGGCCATGGCGTTGTCCCGCATGGCGGCAAAGCTGCAGTGCTGCTCCAGGGCTGCCAGCGTTCCCGGGGCCAGCGGGCACCCCAGGAAGGTGCTGAGGCGCTGTGCTGTGCCACACAGGTCCTGGGGCAAGGGTATGGTCAGCGCTGGGCACCGGTGGGGACAGGGACAGGGATGGGGACACTGCAGGGCTCACCTGGTGCAGCTCCTCGTAGGTGACGTAGAGGATGTCCAGGAGGTGCCGCTGGCCCAGCCAGCCCTTGACGTGGTCAAACCAGGAGCCATAGTGCACTGGGGGGAAGGCAGGGAGTGATGGGGGGCCCTGAGGCTGAGTCCCCCCTGCCAGGGACACCCCCAGCCCTTACCTGTGCCCTCGAGAAACTGCGTGAGGAAGGCATCAAAGGAGCCAGGGTCAGGCAGGAACTTGGCTAGGCGGTGGAAGTGGTAGAAGGAGACAGCGACATCCTTGGGGTTCCTGGCCACATAGATCACCTGGGGGGGACACAGTGTCACCCCCACGGTTGGGAGGATTCTGCTCCACCTGGCTCAGAAAGCTCCTGCTATTTCCCCAGCTGTGGGAAGCCCCATGGGTTCAGGATATCCCTGCGTGGACCCCCCCAGGCCGTCAGGGATCCCCCCCAGACCATCTGTCTCCCTCTCACCTTGGCCTTGCTGCGCTGCAGGGCAGGGGCCAGGACGTGGGCGGGCATGTGGGTGGTGAGCAGCCGGGGGGTCTCTGTGTCCCGCAGAGCCTCCCGGCAGTAGATCTGCTCCAGCCAGGGAGCCCGCTCCCAGTTGGGAATGGTCTTGGCTGGGCGGGCGTCCCCAAGGCTGAACATCAGCGTCAGGATCTCCTGCATCCAGGTGGTGCCTGTGAAGGTGGGAGTCAGGGCAGGGTCACCTCAGCATAGGGCAGTGCATGGCATGGTACCATGGCATGGCATGGAATGGCATGGCTCAGCACAGCATGGCACTGCAATGGCACGTGCCATTGGATGGCACAGCATGCTGTGGAGCAGATCGGCACAACTTGGCTTGGCATGGAATGGCTCAGCTCAGCCTGGCCTGTCCTGTCCCATCCTGGCCAGTTCCATCCCAACCTATCCTGTCCCATCACAGCTCAGCTCGTCCAGGGGCAGCAGCTGGGATGGCAGTACCATGTGGCCCCCATAGACCCCCACAGAGACACCACTCTGGGGCTGGAACAGTGTGGGGCAGCAGCACAGGGTATTCGGGGGGTGGGAGCCGCTGGCCAGGGGTCCCCACGCTGTGCCAGTGGTCCAGGTGTTCCC